ACATCCGGAACGATCTCGTGCAAAACTCTGTACCTGTGACTTTCCAAATCTTCGCCTGCTGGATCCTTCTCATCCATCAAGGTATTGGCTAATCTCTTTTTGGCCTGCAAAGCTACATATCTCTCAGCCCAGCTTTTGCAAGTTTGCCATTCCTCGCCTGAATGCGTGTGCTCATCGACACATCTCAGATACCTGGCCACGCGATCTTTCTTGAGCATTTTGAAGGACCGAAGCGAACTTTTCTTGGAGTGGTAAGAGTCTAGCCATTCTTGAAAGATGGGGATGGAAGCTTTGATCCCTTCGGTTTTTGAAGGATGTGCCTTTGCTCGATGAAGCATCGTGTTGATGGTTTGGAATTGGTAGGTCAAGGAACGATTGGCAGAGACCATTTGAATTGTTCGATGAGCTGACGCTGCATCTTTGAAAGAGGTGCCGTGCAGCGTCGTCGATGGATTGTCATCGGTATATAGATGAGAGGCTTTTTTGCGCTCTTGCTCAGATGCATCTTTCTTGGTACGCTTAGAGGAACCCAAAGATGCATTGGATGCTTTTTCAGTCTCTTGCTCTTGCCCTTCTTTGGCTGATCTCCTCTTTGTGCCCGCCATGGTGCTGCTCCTCTTCCAAAAAGGTAGGTCGAGATTCCAAAGGTGTTTTGGGGGAAAAGGGCATCTTCAATCACAATCACGAATCCAGGGACGCGCATGACATAAGCAGCGTAGCGCAGCGCATGCCGCATCCGCGCCTGCGTCAGTACGCTCCCATCCATAGTCACGAGTCACGAGTCGCGTTTCGCTGATGCATGCGCTGAGTGGCTCATGCTCGGATCCTTGATCACCAAATTCCTAATCATCCGTCACATGGTCGCGACGGCCTCTCCAACTCTGTCGGGGCGGAAGGCACACTTGTGAATCCCTGAAAGGCGTTTCAGCTGCATTCGCGACATGACAGCGAGGCTCACTGCTCAAGTCTCCTTATTCACGAAGCACGGAAGCAAAGCCAAAACTGGCTTCGGACTGAGCCTTTACAGGTCAGAATCAAGGCGTTCTTCGTCTCTCAAGCGAATGCAGCACAAGGTAATCTGCATTTGGAGTGTGGGGCTAAGTGCTGATGACGTTCATTCCGATTCTGTGTAGGATGTGATGGGCCTAAGAAGAGGACAAAGGGAGGGAACGAAGGAGGCAGAGGGGGGGAATCTCGCTCTCAAACGCCCTTGTAATCCATGTCGCCCTCTCTGTCCCACGTAGATTCGCGTTCTTCAGGTTGAGTTTCTTCCCAAGCGCTCGAGTGCGCGACTGCCTTTGTCGGTATCCCTTGCGCTTCCACATTGTCCGAAGAAGCATCGTTGCGCACGCTCGAGTTGGTGAGTGGTGCGAGGACAGACATGGGGCTGGAGGAGCCGACTTGTGATTCGGTTCCTGCAAACGGCATCGCGG